TGTTTGTGTTTTCTTTTTTGTGTTTCTTCCTGTTTCCTTGCCTCTATCTGACTGTATATATATTAGTCTGCATTATATATTTCTGAAGTGTGTTGGGCGTACCGGCGCTTTTAGGCGCATTTGGGCGCCTCTGAGCGCTTATGGGCGCTTCTGAGCGTTTATGGGCGCTTTTGAGCGAAGTATGGCCACTGCCTAAGGCATTCGATCATAGCTCGAGTTTTGAACGAGATAGAAAAACCAGAGCTTGTGATAGCACGAAGTAGCAAATTTACCTGGATAGTAGGAGTGCCACCTTCGGGGGATTGCATTGCTTGCTGCAGTTTGGCATGTTTCTGGAATTGCGTACGATCGCATAAGAAAACATTTACGAGAAAAAAGAAGAGATAAGTCTTACGCTAAAAAGTTCGTCAAGATCATGCTGAAGTATGGCCCTTTCTTTCTCTGACTTTAGCCGCAAATCTGTTTCGCTCTTCAATTTCTCCTCGAGCTCCTGAGAAGAAAGATCATCAGACTAAATATACAAGCATTAAACATCCCAACAACTCGATTACACTTACCGAAACGCGATTTCCACTGGGAGAAGCAGATGCTCGATTATTACCAGCGTTTTGTGGACTATAAACAAGAAAATAACTGATAGATTGCGAGCTACACTGGTGAGAAACATACGTATTGAAAGCGACGGCAGACGGCACCTCCTCTCTTACGGCTCCTCCATGTTCACTCGAACGTTGTTGGAATACTACCATCAATTTGCTGTACATAAGCTCATTCGGAGAGATAGTCTAAACAGTTAGCTATAATTAGATAAAATTCAAATTTCTGCCCCAGTCGGACAATCAAATTACCTTCCAGATATTATCGAGATCAACATCACCGGGAGGGCAGAAACATGTCTGAACCATGAACTTATGACGAGCTACATCAGTTGGAACGCCATCCATTGGTTGTAGCATCACAGTTATGGTCTTCGAACTACTCGGTGGCAGGACTCCTACAAATCTAACTCGCAAAAATCTGTCTCCAAACATCAATTATGTCACCTTACCCGAATTGGGGCGCACACAATATTGTTTCGGAGCAGTTGTTTTCACTTTGAAACATACCGGCCTTTCAGTAGGATTTTTCAATTGTAAGTGAGCATTGACAATGTCAGTGAACGGGCCTGAATGAATTCAGTTCAGA